AATCTTTGACCACTCGAGGGAAGCCATCTTGTGTGTTGGAATGATGGTCAATTTGCATATTACCTCTTTATTATATAGGATTAGTGGCCCAGTGCTAAAAATTTGTGCACTGGGGGAGGGTGTTCCCTCAGCCCAGCCTGCACCCTCTCCAATCAGGAACCCCTAGGGGGATGTCCAAACCAGCAATTGGACATCCCTCTCACAATCTAGGACTGCTGGCTCCTAACTTCTCACCTTCCTGCCTTCCTGATTGCACTTAACCTCTCTGCCTGCCTGCCTGATCGACCCTAACTGCCTCTGCCTGCCTGCCTGATCCCCCATAACTGTCCTCCCCTGCTGGCCTGATCACCCCTAAATGCCTCTGCCTGCTTCATCGTCCCTAACTGCCCTCCTCTGCCGGCCCGATCTCGCATCCAACTGCCCACCCTGCCAACCTGGTTGCCCCCAACTGCTCTCCCCTGCCAGCCTGATTGCCCCTAATCCCCTGCTGGCCTGTTCTTGCCCCAAACTGCTTTCTCCTGCTGACCTGATTGCCACTAACTGCCTTTGCCTCGGCCCCCACCATCATGGCTTTGTCCGGAAGGAAGTTGGATGTCCGGAAGATGGCTGGGCAACCCAATCTAATTAGCTTATTACACTTTTAGTGATATAGATAGATTATATAAGATAGGATTGCTTAAATGGGGCAGGGAGCCTTTTAAAGCAGGAGGAGATGCTCTTGGTAGACAAAAACACATAATCCCTATATCTGGACTGATAGCCAGCCATATGCACTATACTGCCAAACCAGTCATTAAAAAATTGAACTGCTTTCTTACACCTTACAACAAATAGCTGTTGCCCTTAAAAGCCCTCCTCAGCGCCCACCTTAGGTTCAGCCTTTGCAGTTCACCCAGATTAGGTTCTGATTGGTCAGTTTCTATGCCAGTCAGCGTCAAAAGCTCCACCTCCTAGGCAGTCATTGGCTTCTGGCACTTCACCCAGATTTGGCTCTGATTGGTCAGTTTCTATGCCAGTCAGAGTCTCTGGGCCTATCTCTGGGGCTGATCAAAGAGGCAGGGTTGATCAGCAGCCCAACCAGAGACCCAGAGAGAAACAGAGGCATGGATGCTGGCAAAGCCTGGAGAGAAAGAGAGGAAATGGCTGATCAACAGCTACCAAAGAGGCTGTGGACCAGACACTGCCTCTCTCTCTACAGGCCTCTCTACAGGTCTGATCCACAGCCCACTCAGCAGTCATTGCTAGGTCACTGTGCCAGCACTGGCTGCAGTCAGTGCTGAGTCGCTACAGCAACCCATCACTGACTTCCATGTTTGGTTAAGCCTTCAGTCATTGTGGATGTTACAAACCCTGGCTCTTTATATATACAGATTCTCTTTCTATCTCCTCTTTACTGAATCGTGGCCATTGCCCATTCATTCAATTCATTTACCTTACTCTCTGGAAATAAGTTCTGCCTCTTCAGATTCAGTTCTCCCCCCCCCCACCCCCATTTTTTCTAGATGACTGTTGTTTGCATTTTTGGTTTAATTGTTGGTTTTGTGGAGTTTTCCCCCCATATAGATATATTTTTCCCCTTCATCAATTCTGTGTCTTTTCTTTTACCTTTTTTCCTTTTCCCAATATCTTTTTTGTGCCCTTTTCTCTCCCCTAATTCTCTTTTCTCTGGAGATCACCTTTATTTAGAATTATAGATGACATGAATACATTTGTGTTTTAATTCCTCTGTGTTCTAACTTGTGGAGTTGTATTTTGTGCAATTTGGTCAACATGGTAAAGAGTGTGCCACATAACTAGACCCTTTGAGATGAGGAAAAATGGGGAGACAAAGAAACAGCCCTCATACAAAAGAAAAGGAGGAATCACCAGAAAAGGAATTAATGAAATGGAGGCCAGTAGTTTGTCAGATAAAGAATTCAGAGCAATGGTCATAAGGACACTGAAAAGGATGAAAGACAAATTCAACAACATATGTAAGAATCAAGAGGAAATGAAGAAGGACCAAGAAGTGAAGAATGCCATAGCTGCAATAAAGAACACAATGGAGAGCATCAAAAGTAGATGAGAAGAAAATGAGAACCACATCAAGGAGCTAGAAGACAAGGTAGTAAAAAACAGCAATCAGAGCAACAACTGTAATAAAAACTGAGCCTAAGGAGCTTTGGGATAACACAAAACGAAACAACATCTGCATAACAGGGATTCCAGAAGCAGAGGAAACTGAGCAAGGAATAGAAAACCTGTTTGAAGAAATAATGGCAGAAAATTTCCCTAATTTGGGGAAGAAAAAGCATACACAATCCCAAGAAGCTCACAGAGTCCCAAATAAGATGAAACTCAAAAGACTAACATCAAGACAAGATCATAATTAAATTGGCAAATACCAATGTCAAAGAATCTTAAAGGCTGGCAGAGAGAGACAGAAAGTTATCTATACGGGATTGCCCATTAGACTATCAATTGATTTCTCAACAGAAACACATCAGGTCATAAGGGAATGGAATGAAATATACAAAGGGATGCAAAGCAGGGGATTGAATCCAAGAATACTTTATCCAGCAAGGCTATCATTCTAAATTGAAGGTGAAATCAGGAGCTTCACACACAAAAAAGGACTAAGGGAGTTTATTACCACCAAGCCAGCAATGCAAGAAATGCTAAAAGGACTGCTGTAGAAAGAAGAAATAGGAAGGGAATATGGAACACAGGCATAATGAACAAAAATGGCAACAAACAAGTATCTATCAATAATAACCTTAAACATAAATGAATGAAATGTTCCAACCAAAAGACATAGGGTAGCTTAATGGATAAGAAAACATGACCCTTATATCTGCTATCTATAAGAGATCCACCTCAGGACAATGGACTTACACAGACTGATATTGAAGGAATGGAAAAAAAATTTCAGGCGAATGGAAATAAAAAAAGTGGGGTAGAAATACTTATATCTGACAAATTTAACCTCAAAGTGAAGGCAATAACAAGAGATAAGGAAGGCCACTTCATAATACTAAAGGGAACAAATCAACAAGAGGATTTTAACTCTGGTAAACATCAATGCACCAAATACAGTAGCACCCAACTACATTAAATAAAAAAAAAAAACACCTTCTGAAAGTTTTCAAGGGAGAGATCCACAGAAGTACTGTCACAGTAGGAGACTTTAATATCCCATTGACACCACTGAATAAATCCTCTAAACAAACAAAAATCAACAAAGAAACATCAATCCTACATGACTCACTAGATCAGATGGAATTAATTGACATCTTTAAAACATTTCACCCCAAGCCATAATATACATTGTTCTCAAGTGGACATGGGACACTTTCAAAAATAGAGCACATATTGGTACATAAGCAAAGTCTTTTCAGATTCAAGAAGATAGAAATCACATTAAGCATCTTTTAGGATCACAATGGCATAAAAGCAGAAATCAACTACAATAAAAACAGTAAAAAAATCAAACACCTGGAGGCTAAATAGTATGTTATTAAACAATGATTGGGTCACCAAAGAGATCAAAGAAGAAGTGAAAAGCATCTTGGTAACAAGCAACAATAAAAACACAATACAAAATCTATGGGACACAGTGAAAGTGGTCCTGAGAGGGAAGTTCATAGCTCTACAGACCTACCTCAAAAAACAAGAAAAAATGGTAATAAATTATCTAACCCTACAACTCAAAGAATTAGAAAGAGAGCAACAAGGAAAGCCCAGTGTGAACAGAAGGATGAAAATAATAAAAATCAGAATGGACATAGAGACCGAAAAAACAATAGGTAAAGTAACAACCAACCCCACTGAAATACAAATGATTATGAATAAATACTATGAACAACTCTATTCCAACAAACTGGACAAAGTAGATGAAATAGACATATTCTTAGAAAAATACAAGCTTCCAAAACTCAATCAGGAAGAATAAAAAAATCTGAATAGGCCAATAACTACCAAAGAAATAGAAACAGTAATAAAAAATCTTGCAGCAAAACAAAAGTCCTGGTCCAGAGGGATTTATAGAGGAGTTCTACCAAACATTCAAAGAAAAAATAAAACATATCCTGTTCAGATTGTTCCAAAAAATTCAAAAGGGAGGCACATTTACAAGCTCTTTCTATGAAGCCAGCAATACCTAATTTCAAAACCAGATAAACACCACAAAGAATGAGAACTACAGGCCAATATCCTTGATGAACATAGATGCTAAAATCATCAACAAAATTCTAGCAAATTAGATCAAACATTACATTAGAAAGATCATACACCATGACCAAGTGGGATTTATTCTGGGGATGCAAAGATAGTACAATAATCACAAATCAATAAATGTGATACATCACATAAACAAATTGAGAGACAAAAAAATCACATAATCATATCAATCAATGCAGAAAACTATTTGACAAAATCCAACATGCTTTCTTGATAAAAACTCTCAACAAAGTGGGAAGAAAGGGATCACACTTCAACATAATAAAAGCCTTATATGACAAACCTACAGCCAACATCATACTCAATGGGCAAAAACTAAAACCATTTTCCCCAAGAACAGGAACAAGACAGGAGATCCATGAAAGTGTACCTTGTACAAGTTTTCCCCAAATGGTGGCAGCAGCAACCAGCACTTACAGGTAGAGACTGTTGATCAGCAATAGCAATTCCTGACTGTGCAGTGGCAACAAAATAACAATGGTGAGAAAGGATGAATTCAGGGTGTGACACAGGTCCATGTAAAAACAGCCTTGAAAACAGCCGAGGTAGAGCATGGTTCAAAATTCACCAACTTTTCCTGAGTACCTAGTATTTGTGAGGCTCTATTCTAGATGCAGGTCACACAGCAGTGAACAAGACAAAATCTTTTGTCTTTGTGGAACTTATTTCTAGCATAGTGAGACACCTAATAAACAAAGTGAATAAATTATAGAGTATTTTAGAAGATGAACTATTATTTTTAAAATAATGAATGCTAAAGGGGAGGGGTGCTGGAGTAGTTGCTGGAAATTTTAAATAATGTGGTCAGGGTACATCTCTCAGAGTTAATATTTGAGCAAGTATTTGAAAGAGGTGAGGGAGCAAGCCATGTGTCTGTTTCAACAAAAAGCATTACAGCCCTGTGGTCAGCAAACTGTGGCTCCCGAGCCACATACAGCTTTTTGGCCCCTTGAGTGTGGCTCTTGAAACTTTGTGGCCCATGCGCAGAGGTTGGTTTTCAGCCTGGGCAAGTCTATTTTGAAGAAGTACTGTTGATAATTGACTCTGTTGACTAATGAGTTTGCCTACCACTGCACTAGGGTATTCGTGCACCTTTAAAGGGACTGTGGGCCATGGAACTGTGGGCTGCAAGGCTGCAGTGGGCACAGGGACGGGTCTTGGCCCATTCTCCACGCCCCCACCCAGCCCCTCCTGCTGTGGCCCCAATCCCCTATCTGCCAGCAACCCCACTCCCACACACTGATGGCACCAGTCCCACTCACACCCGCTCATGGAGCGATTGGGGCTGGCGCCCTCAGTGGGTATGAGTGGTGGCTGCTGCCTCGATCACCCCTCAGGAGCAGGAGGACGTGGAGAGTCCCTGGGGGCGATCAAGGCAGACAGCCACCGTTTGCACTCACTGACAGTTCCGAGCAATCAGGGCCAGCACCTGGTGCCTGCAGCGGGTGCAAGTGGCAGCTCTGGCACCAGCAGCAGGTGCAAGCACCGGGTGGGGCTGCAGTGCATGGGAGCAAAGAATTTTCAGTCACCACCAGAGGCTTGCCATGATGACAGCAATGGGTTGCCTTGGTCTGGCAGCCCTGCTCACCAGCTCCACCATCCCACGGTGGCCAATGCCCACCATGTTCCACACTCTGCCCACCTTCTGCCAACACCTGCCATGTTCCACGCGTGCCTCCTGGTGGTCAGTGCACTTCATAGCTACCAGTTGTTTGGATGTTCCACCATTTGGTCTATTTTTATATTAGCTTTTTATTATATAGGATGGCATATGGACCAAGGCTTTTTTATCCACTCATTTATTTGGGTTGTTCAATAGCTTGGCTAGTGTACATAATGCTGCAATTCATTGTAGAATAATATGTAGGAGTGCATATTTTCTTTTGAATTAGTGTTTTGCATTTCTTCAGATATATACCCAGAAGTGGATTCGTGGGACCATAGGGAGTTTCACTTTTCATTTTTTTGGGAAACCTCCATATTTTCCATAGTGGCTGCACCAATCTGCATTTCAACCAACAGTGCATGAGATTTCCCTTTCCACCGCATCCTCATCAAACATAGTTGTCATTTGTGGACTTATTGATCATAGCCATTCTCACAGGTGTGAAGTGATATCTCATTATGGTTTTAATTTGCATTTATCTGATGCTTAGTGCCATTGATCACATTTTCATATAATTTTTGGTCATCTGTATGTCCACTTTTGAAAAGTATCTATTCAGGTAGGTCTTTTGCCCACTGTTTTAGTTGATTTTTTGTTCTTTTAGTGTATAATTGTTTGAGTTCTAAATTTTGGATATTAACCCCTTATCAGGTGTGTCATTGGTGAGTATATTCTTCTATTCAGTGAGTGGTCTTTTTATTTTGTTGATAGTTTCCTTTAATGTGTAAAAATATTTTAGTTTGATGTAGTCCCATATGTTTATTTTTACTTCTGTATCCCTTTCCCAAGGAGATAAATCAGAAAAAAAAATATTGGTATGAGAAATATCCTGTTTTCTAGGATTTTTATAATTCTGAGTCTTTTAAGTTTTTAATATATATTGGGGTTATTCTTGTGTATGGTACAAGAAGTTAGTCTAGTTTCATTTTTTTGCATGTATCTATCTAATTTTCCCAATACCATTTATTGAATTGACTGTCTTTACTTCACTGTAGATTTTTGCCTCCTTTGTCAAATATTAATTGACTGTAAAAGTGTAGGTTTTTTTCTGGGCTCTCTATTCTGTACCATTAATCTATATGTCTGTTCTTATGCTAGCACCATGCTGTTTTGATTAGTATGGCCTTGTAGAATAGTTTGATATCAGGTTGTATGATTTTTCCAACTTTGTTCTTCTTTCCCAAGATTGCTGTGGCTATTCAGGCTCTTTTTGGTTCCATATAAATTTTTGGATTATTTGTTCTAATTCTATGAAATACACCATTGATATTTTGATAGGAATTACATTGAATCTATAAACTACTTTGGGCAGTATGGAAATTATAATGATGTTAATTCTTCTTATCCATAAGCACAGTATATATACTTTATTTGTATCTTCTTCCATTTCTTTTTTCACTGTCTTCTAATTTTTAGTACAGGTTTTTATGTCCTTGGTTAAATTTATTCCTAGGTATTTTAATTGTTTTTGATGTAATTGTAAGTTGTATTGTTGTCTTTGTTTCTCTTTCTTTTTTAAAAAATATATTTTATTGATTTTTTACAGAGCGGAAAGGAGAGAGATAGAGAGTTAGAAACATCGATGAGAGAGAAACATCGATCAGCTGCCTCCTGCACATCCCCTACTGGGACTGTGCCCGCAACCCAGGTACATGCCCTTGACCAGAATCGAACCTGGGACCTTTCAGTCCACAGGCCGACGCTCTATCCACTGAGCCAAACTGGTTTTGGCATGTTTCTCTTTCTGATAGTTCACTATCCTCCTATATAATAAAGAGGTAATATGCAAATTGACCATCACTCCAACACACAAGGGCTGCCCCCATGTCGTCAAAGATGGCCACAACCAGATGGCTGGCAGGGGAGGGCAGTTGTGGGCGATCAGGCAGGCAGGCAGGTGAGTGGTTGGGAGCCAGCAGTCCTGTATTGTGAGAGGGATCAGGCCTAAACCTGCAGTCAGACATCCCTCAAAGGGTCCCAGATTGGAGAGGGTGCAGGCTGGGCTGAGGGACACACACACACACACACACTGTGCATGAATTTCATACTCTGGGCCTCTAGTTGCTATATAAAAATTAGATGGATTTCTGGATAATTATTTGTATACTGCTACTTTACTGGTTTTTTTTTTTATTACTTCTAGTAATTTTTTTGGTGGTATCTTTAGGATTCTCTATATACAGTATCATGTCTTCTGCACATAATGATCATTTTATTTCTTCCTTTCCAATGTATATACCTTTTAATTCTTCTTATTGTCTTATTTCTGTGGCTAGGACTTCCAATACTAGGTTGAATAAGAGTGATAAAAGTGGACATCCTTTTCTAATTCCATATCTTAAGAAACATGATTTAGTTTTCCCATATTGAGTATTATGTTAGCTGTGTGTTTCTCACATATGGCCTTTATTATGTTATGTTCCCTCTATTCACTCTTTGCTGAGAGTTTTTTTTTCATAAATGGATGCTGGATTTTCTCAAAATTTTTTTTCTGATATTTATTCTTCATTTTGTTTATGTGGTCTATCAAGTTTATTGATTTGCAGATATAACAATCTTGAACCCCAAAAATGGATCCTACTTAATCATGGTGTGTAATCTTTTTAATGCATTGCTGGGTTGGGTATGCTAATACTTTGTTGAGGATTTTTGCATCTCTGTTCATCAGGGATATAATTTTCTTTCTTTTTAGTGTCTTTATAAATTTTGGAAGTAGGATGATGCTGGCCTCATAAAATGAGTTTTAGAATCTTCCTCATGAATTTTTGAAAAGTTTAAAAAGAATAGGTGTTAGTTCTTAGAAAGTTTGGTAAAATTCAATAATGAAACAATCCAGTGCAGGACATTTGTTTGTTGAAGATTTTTTTTATTATTGCTTCAATTTCATTAGTTTAATCAGTCTGTTCAAATTTTCTTTTCCTTCTTGATTCAGCTTCAGAAATTTTTTATGGTTCTAGGAAGTTATCCATTTCTCCAAGATTGTCCAATTTGCTGGCATATAATTGTTCATAATATTTTCTTATAACCCTTTGTATTTGTGTTGTCAGTTGTTACTTTATCCTTTTTTATTTCTGATTTTATGTATTTGGGTCCTTTTTTTTGATGAGTCTGGTTAAAAATTTGTCAATCTTGCTTATCTTTTCAAAGAACCAGCTCTTGGTATCATTGATCATTTGTATTGTTTTTTAATCTCTATTTTGTTTATTTCTGATTTTTATTTTTTCCTGTCTTCTGCTCATTTTTGGCTTTGTTTGTTTTTCTTTCTCTGGTGCCTGTAAGTGTAATGATAGATTGTTTATTTGAGATTTTTCTTGTTTCTTGAAGTGGGCTTGTAATGCTAGGAAATTCCCTCTTAGGACTGCTTAAACTGTGACCCATAGATTTTGGGTTGTTGTGTCCTCATTTTCTTTTGTTTCAAGGTATAAAAAGTTATTTCCTCTTTTATCATATTGTTAATTCCGCCTCTATATGTTTGTGTGTGTTTTTTCTTTTGATTGATTTCTAGTTTTAAACCAGTAAACATAGTAATGGAAGTCAGAGAACATGTTTTTGATAAAATTTCACTTTTGTTAAATTTATTAAGTCTTGTTATGTGCCCTTAAATGTGGTCTACCTAGAAAATGTTCCACATGCACTTGAAAAGAATGTATATTTTACTGCTTTGGGGTGAAATACTCTGAAGACATCAGTTAAATCAATGTGATCCTGTGTATTATTTAAGACCACCTTTTCTTTGTTGATATTCTGTCTGGAAAATCTACCCATTTTTGTCAATGGGTTGTTAAAATCCCCTGTTACCATTGTGTTACTGTTGATCTCTTCCTTTATGTTCATCAAGATTTGCCTTATATATTTAGGTGCTCCTATGTTGGGTGCATAAATGTTTAAAAGTTTTTATCCTAGTAGTGAATGGCTCCCTTTATCATCATGTGGTGTCCTTCCTTGTCTCTTATTGTCACCTTTTTTAAAGTGTATTTTGCCCTAACCAGTTTGGCTCAGTGGATAGTGTTTCTAACTCTCTATCCCTCTCCCTTCCTCTCTGTAAAAAATCAATAAGATATATTTTTTAAAAAAATAAAGTGTATTTTGCCTGGTATAAATATTGCTACCCCAGCTTTTTGTTTGTCTGTTTCCATTTTCATGAAATAACTTTTTCCATTCTTTTACTTTTAT